TTAAATACAGATACTGATAGAAATATATATACTCTGCGTTCTACTTATTTTATCAAAGTTTTATTATTGAAAAATCGGCTATTTTGATATAATCATAATATCTAAAATTCTCAATAAATAAACTTATATACAACTTGTAGATGTATTTTTCAGTAGAGTACAGTTAATAAACCTATATCAAAATTGTTGAGATAGGAGAGTTGATTTTCTTTCTATGTTCCTCTAGTAGACAATTTTATTGAAGTGCCACCCAGTGAAAATTACTTAAAATATGATCTGGCTGAGCCATACCCATTTGCCTACTATTTATTTTTTTTTTTAATTATTCGTATTATTTACTATTTATAAATTATTATTTCAATGTGTAGTACCTACTGCCTACTTCCAGAAATGTCCTAAATTAAAATACAATAGTGTCAATAGTGCGTGCTAGACATCTAAACAATTAAGTGAAACCTSTAAATACTGCACACTCTTGATCAAAATAATTTGATCTACTATTCATAGTTCAATTTATAGAAAGATAAAGGTATTTATCTAGCTAGTAAGCTAGTTCTCAAAAAACGGTTCGCTATTTGGAGGTTTCACTGTATAGTGTATTAGTGTGTGTTATAAATATTAATACATATTTATATATTTTGTATAGACTATAGGTAGTGATAGGTAGCTATTTACTATTTATATAGCCATATAGGTATAATTAGTATTTACCTCCAGCGCAGACGGCCGCGGCGTATCCATAAAGTAATAATTAGTACTCTATGGAGTATGGGTGTCTCGGTGGAAACGMGCCCTCGTAAAGTAGTACGTTCAACGGCCGCGGGTGGCGGCCTGGTCGCGTCGCATCGAAGGTCGCCCTTGCGCACACCCGTCGGTCATCACCCGTTCGTGAACGCGACTACGCAAGTACTGATGTACACAACATCAGCGCCAGTCTTACCCCTCCGTYGCACGTACGTGTGTTCTTCTGGCGTCACTGTAATTTTAATTCGGTTTTCGTTTGTTTTCGCTCATCTGGATAAAATAATAATGTTTATAATATTATATATATAAAGCACGTATTTCTATTTTTTTGTGTTTATCAGTGGTTTAAACGTATTGCTTTTTAGTTTGTTTATTCGTCGCGAAAAAGTGCGTTTGTGGCTTGTGGGTGCCCAACGATGTTTTGTTATTCTTCACAACGTTATTTAATAACATAATAATTATATTATCACAATAATTGTGATAATATTTTAAGTTGAAAATTTAAAATTGAATTACATATYACCGTGTGACTGTGCTACGAGTGCCTCCTAAACATATAAATAATAATTTTATACAATCTGTATTTTCTAATAATGCGTTACGTGCTTCGTAGTGGTGTCAGATTGGAAATCCGATAGGTACTTGGTCAGCTGTAACTTAAAAGAAATCCACGAAAATTGATCAAAAATTTTGATGAGTGTCAAAAGTCATGCAGGTGAGTGAATGTTAAGAATGACTAGAGAAAAATGTTTTCTTAAATATTTATATGTTTGAATTTCATTTTTATTAGCTTTTGTGAATTTTTTAAATATATTCTCTCCTAACTTCACATTAAATAACTTTTAAAATTTTGAATGATTATTATTATATGTAACAATAGATCTAGATTCATCATAGATCTTCATCTTACTATGCATTATAATATTTACTATTTTGAATAAAATTACATTAATTAGAACCTAAAGTTTTTATCATTATAATTTTATCTTACTATTATAGAAAATCAAAGGGATATGTTTGGAACATCCGTCATGCGTCGGTCATACTCTACCATATCATCTGTGCAGTAATGGTAGCTGCGGCAGCATATTCGGACAAGGAAAAGCCTCCATGAATAATCTGAAAAATGCCTCGCTCTGCCTTTACGCACTTTATGTCGGTCATCTGATACGGCATGACGACCGAATCAACCGACCAGCCACTGCAATCTGCTGGGCCCTTGTTCACAGACCCAACAGCCCGATATCGGTGCGCGTCTAATGTTCCATCTTGTAGTCATGGCGTCGTCGCTCGACCGGCGACTGCCGCTAACATGAACCAAGTGCCGAAAGGTTACTGTTACTCAACGGATAATAATCTAATTGTTAACAGTGAGTGTGATAAAAGTTATCACTGTCCTAACTCAACTGCAGTTGTCACTTTGACAAATAACATTGTTTCAACCCCAGCATCTTTTGTGTCTTCAATTACTGTACCAGCAGGATGGAGACGACTTCATAATAAAGGAGTCATAAATTATATAAGGTAAATTGAACTTTGAATATAATTCAAAAAATACTTAGTTAACATTTTTTAATGTCATGAAATGAGTAGTTAAATCCATTTTAATTTTTGAGATTATGCTTTACTTAGGTATTAAATAAGTATTTAATGGAAGTATATTGTTTAAATTGTTTTGAAAAATAAATGTTAAGGAATCATATTAAAATAATTTTTAATTTATGTTCTGGTTAAAAAAAAATATAAGTATACCTATTATAAAAAGTTCATTAATTTTTTACATGCTGTAATAAAATTAGTAGCAGCTATGTTTAAGTATCCTTTTTTGAATAGTTGAATCATCTTCAAAATAATTTTTTATTTTATAAATAATATTTATATACTGATTAATTTAATTCAAATATATACCATATATTACAAGCAGCTTCTTAAGTTCTAACCTAGTGTTGTTGTTGTTGTTTTTTTTTTTGGTAAATTGATTTAGTACTTAAATAATAAAAAATATTAGGTACATAGTGGAATATATTTTTTTTTCATATAAAATTGAAATTTGACAAACTATTTAGCGCCCTAACTTTGGTATACCTATATTAAAATAAAATTTTGTTTAGTAATTAATAAATGTATGTTCTATACTTCTATTCTAATTTTAAAGACACTGTATATAATTTATATTACTCYGGCAAAGAGTAAGAAGTTTAAGTGTTGAAGTAAACAATAAACATGGTTTTTGTAAGTGACATGGAAAAAAAATATTCAATCTAATGGATTAACTAATAATAATATAATGATTTATGAATTATGGCTTATATTGTGATATTACCTATATATATTTTTTAACTTGCGGTTTTGTTTAAATTAGTAATTCTAAATGTAAAATATATGTAACCGTCGAGTATTATTACTATTTTCGTCATATTTAAATGTTTAATTTATTTAAGTACAACCGTTTTCACTATTTTTATTTTTATTTTTATTTTTCACGTATTTACTATTTAGTGTGGTATTACAATATTTCTTAATTTCCAATGGTTAAAACAATGATTTGAAAATGAAAGCGCTAAGACCATACTACGTTATCCTTTAAGTCCCCTATTTAACCTCTATTATTCTCTTGGTGGGCTATTGGAAATATCTGCTTCTGTGTCGGCGAAATTCTGACCTAAAATACTATTTTACACCATGGGGTGTCTTTGATTTACTACTGTATAAGATGCATTCTTTTGAAAACACGAGGTTCAATACAAATCACCTGGCTTCCAGGCTTAAAAGACCTTTTTCCCCTAAATTACACCCTAATATTGTAAATTATACCGGACATTCCTTATGTACAAAAAGACGTGTATATGACTTCTATAGAAGTATAATACGCCATGACCGTTGACCGCAACCGGCTACCCATTTTACAACCCTGTTAAATTTGAAAAACGTTAAGTGTATAGAACAGATGATATCGATAATATTCGTATTTCACGACACCACGTTACCATTTTTTTCTCAGAACATTGTTTATTTCTTTAAAATTATTYAAATTTTAAGCTTTTGCAATATAATCTATGAAAATATTAATTTGTTTTTAGWTTTTTACACATTAATAACAGTCATTTCGTTTCAAGTTATTTTATTAATGTATTAATTATAWAACATGTGTAAACTGTACATTTTAAAGAACTAAATCGTTGTTACAAAAAAAATATATTCTAATCAGACGCCGAAATTTAGAATAAAAACATGATTTAATTATTTTAATGTGTTTTGGATTTATTCTAAACTAAGGTTTAACCTAACAAACCAAATATTTTATTAATATTAAATTCAATGTTTATGACTTAGTTATTTATTTAGTACATTTAATTTAGTTATTTTTGTACATCTAATTAATGATATAGACATGTTTAGTTCATTTTTTCCCTTCATATCTACATATATAATTTATTTATGTATCTATTAAAAAAATGTACCTACTTCGTTTTCATTACCGAATACTAGTAGATACCTAATCTAACCTTCATCACTAATCCATACAATTTTGACCTCTAAATATATCTTATATAATTGCCAAAAAATGATTCTAAATTCTAATTCAATTATCATTAGACCACTATAAAAGGAAATACAAAATTTATGTTCATGGTCACCTCTCGCCAGCAATGAAGGWAGAAGCTGTAAGGTACACCTAAACGTTCATCARTTGAACAAAAATATGTGTCTAAGTTATTTGTAAGGAAGAAAAAATATATTAAGTTGAGTGTAATCGCTTACGACTGGTTTAATTTTTTTAGTGATCCTTAAGCTTTACGTGTGTTTGAAGCGATTAACCTTGTTGTAATAAACCAGTTTAGTTGGTCACTGAAAGGGTAAACATGATTCTCTAGTGTACTATTTAAATCTGATTCAAATAAATTGTGATCGTATTAAATAATTTGTTACATGAACAAAATATCTTTAAGTATCATCATAGAATAATAGATCAAAGATTTATTGTTAGTTAAGATTACTTTGACAATATTATTTGTATTAATGAATAATTCTTTATTTACTTGTATCGATGTTTTCTTTTCATACTCGTACTCGTGTAATTACTATTACATACAGTTAGATATTTCATTACGTCTACAATTAAAATATTATAACATGGCGTGCTCTATTAAATTACTTTTTAATATGAATTACGTTTAATACTTCGCTGGGTGCAGTCGTTTCTTCAATTATCTTTCACCAATTTTGTAATGACCCCTTATGTGATCCCTAATCACCCTTATGTGTCTTTACTTAATCAAATATTATTTTACTTGAGATTATGAAGGTCATGCGAAGTATAAAACCAACACTTACAAATTGTTATTTGGAAAGGTTGCAAACATATTAAGAGGATATTCGCACATGTTATCTCCGTCACACGTATAACATCCTATTATGTAACAAACTTTTGTTCAGCAATTCTAATTATGTGCGGTAAATTTCAATAATAGACTTCTAACSTAATTCTTAGGTAAAAAGATTATCTGTATAATAATTCACAATGTTTTAATTTTTAAGGGATTTTGAGAATTTTTTTATTTGTAATATTGTACATACATATAAGATATAACTTACGTAAATATTTAAATATCGCAAAAAATCAACGAGAAAACAAAAAAAATTTCTCACCTTAAAGTTTGATAATAGATCAATTAATTTTATATTGAATCTTACAATACACAACTGGAACTGCTGAAGGAAATTTGTTGTGTGGATCCTATGTAAGACATTAACGATTAAACATTAAACATAATGTTACGAGGATATAACACCCTCTTAAGTATTATTTATAAATAAATACCTAACGTGTTTACGCGTGTATTGAGTATAATATGATTTTCAAAAGGATGCTGTTTTGCCATAACATGTAGAGTACTTTTTAACGGCAGCAGCTTAGAAATTTTGAATTCTTATATTGCTAGTTTAGTTTCTAGACTTTCAAACACTAAGTAGTATACCTCATTTATTTTACTTCGCTTAATTTTTATAATTTATTATTCGTAAATATATATTTTTTAAATTATGACGATGTCAATTCGATTATCTAAWTGAGTATACAAATTATTTGTAAACTATAAATTAAATTGATTAAATTCAAATATTTTATGTATAATCGTACTTTAAGAGGATGTCAGCGCACTATTTGTTTTCTCTCTCTGACCCACGCGTAACATAGACGAAACCTGACTAAACGCATTTACGAAGAATCATTTTTTCTATGTCTTTAAGTAATTTTAGAGTAAAACCTTTCATTACTAAAAAGATAAAGAATAATATTTTTGAGGGAATGACATATCGATTTTATATTTTATTGATATTTAACTTAGTATTCGACTTTCAAAATAAACAAAAAAATACTGTACATTTAAATAATGCTTAAATTATTTAGAGACAATATTTAGACAAATCGATATGTCATTCCCTCAAAAATATTATTTTCTATMTTTTTTGTAATGGGAGGTTCTACTCTAAAATTACTTCAAGATATAGGAAAAATGATTCTGCGTATATGTGTTTTGTCTATGTTACGAGTGAGACAGAATAATGAGAAAACAAATAGTGCGCTGACATCCTCTTAAGTTAATGACGGTATAATTTGATTTGACGGTTTAATTTTAAAGGCTTGAATAACGTAGGGTTGTGTTTGTTGTGTTATTTTTAGATTTAGTGAGTAACCTACCTAGTTTAATGGTCTGATAAGAATACTCTTATGTTTTCTTTTCAATTCTTAATGGTTCTTAAAAATTTTAAAATAAGGCAATAGCCAATAGATTAAATTTGATTATTATATTTTATTGCCGCACATAATATTATTTAAATTGAATTTGCTATTAATATAAACTTTTAAAAAAGAAAAATCATGCATATGAATTTTTGATGATTTTAAATTGCTATATAATATATCTATGAGTTATGAAGAAATTTTCATAGCATTTTTAAAAGGTTTTTAACAGAATATAATGTTGCCCCTCCCCYAAAAAATCCTGGTTATGCTTCTTACGGAGTTTATTCATGATTATGTGTCAACATTTTTATGAATCAAATCAATTATTTTTAGTTTCGAATTTTTGACTTTTTATCACCAAAGAATGTAAATGTGACACAGAGGTGGCAAATCGCAAATGGTTAGATCATAAATCTAGTAATTAGCAGTTATCGGCATCGTATACTTAAAATTTTACGTTTAGATATTTAGTAAAGTATACGTTTGTAGTTAATAACTTAAGATTAATAGCTACAAACAAATTGCCTAAACATATTATGCGATAAGTGTTGTACATGCATTTTGGCGAATGTACTCGTGATATTCCCTATGTTCATTCTTTAAAATTAAATTGAGTGTATATTATAGGGGAAAAACTAACGCCTAATCATTTAAAGGTAATTAAAATATCGTAATCGAAAGTGTCTTAAATAAAGTTTTGCTCCTTAAAATAATAATAAAAAAAAATATCGAAACCCAACAGTTTTTTTGTAACGTTTTTATGATCGTWATTAATCAT